TGACCTACTCACACTTACTCAACTTTCTCTCCTACTCACCAGCACAGGGAGGATCAGAGCCATGAAGCCGCCGCAGAAAACGGCGAAGGCCACCGCGTAGGTCATGAGTAACGGGAAGGTGGTGGCCAGGGGACAGAGCAGGTTGGTGACGCCGCTGAGGACAAGGTAAGCCACGTGGTAGTGATACTTCTTGGTCCAGTTCTGGTCGGCGACCCAGCCCGAGAGCAGCTGGCTGAATGTCTCCGTGATGCCTGGGGGGAAGAAAAGTTCACCAGACCCATGAAAAAGACTTTATTTTTAATATTATTTTTTTTGAGGGACTGTCTTTCACAGTCCCACCTGCTCCTCGCTGTAAAAACGTGACTGCAAAGAGCTGAAATGTCAGGAAGTTACGGGAAAGCGTTTTTAGGCTGTTGTAAAATTCATGTTGCCTTTTTTTTTTTTTTAAAATTATTATTTCTTTACTTCGGTGTCTGCTATTGCCAAGTGCCTGTGGATGCACCAAAGTGGTCTGTAAAAATTTCAATTAAGGGCTCTGCACTCAGCAGAAAAATCTTGAAATGCCCTTCAGAAAAAACAGGAACGATAAGCTCGCACTTTGATCTCTTTCTCAAGATAGACAAAAAGCAGAATATTAAGAAATATGCTTATGAGATCCTAATTTTTTATAAAGAAGCAAAGAAAGACAGAAGCCCAGCCTGTTTGGGTTTTTTTTAAAGGCTTTGCAAACTTTTGATACTCAGTTTTTACATTTTTTGGTACATTTTTATGCCCTAAAGATCAGAGGAGGGCTGGACCGCTGTGTCCCTCCTCCTCTTAATTCGAAATGTCAGATTAATTGCTGCGCTCTCCTTCTAGATGCCTCGACAGCATCCATCATTTCTAAATATTATACTGCGGCGTAGAAGTAAAATTTATTTTTCTACAATAAAATATTTTACGATGACTGAGGTTGGAGCCGTTTTCTTAACCCAGTGCGACTTCAGTGTTAATCCTCGCTGTAATTTTGGTTTTTTTGGGGGGGCGGGAATTGTTTACTTCCCCCTCTTTGCAGGCGAATTTGCCAAATCCAAATGGTTACATCAAAGTTAGTGTTGTTTGTTGGGGTTTTTTTAGTTTTTTTTTTCCTCCAATACTAAATTTTTCTCTCTCCGTGCGCATTCCTGGGCCGAACCGGTCTCTGAACGCCGAGCGACTCCGGATTGCGGCGCCTTGGGGGTTTAAACAAAGCAGGGATCGTGGTGGGAAGGCTCTAAGAGGACGAGGTAGCACCTATGTCATCGGAAACTTGTGTTTGCTCGGCGCGGCGAGGGTGGGGGATCATCGAGCTGAGGTTGAGAGAACCACCCACCATGTGAGAGCGACTCTGTACATGTACAGAAGGCGACGCTATATATACAGAAAGGGGGGTAAGGGCTGCGAGCGAAACCTTTTCCGCGAAGATTTATTCTAAGACGGATTTGGGACTATTTCTTGGCAAGGTTTGGGGTGTTTTTCTTTCCCGTTTTGGTGTCGTCGCCATGATCAACGGGTCGAAAAAGATTCTTTTTTGCCTACCAGCCACTGAAATGAGGTAAGAGGCATCCATGCTGCTTATGCCCAACGTCCTGGCTCTGGCTACCAGGTGGAACATGGGCACGAAGTAAGCCAAGTGGCTGAATAGAAAAGACCACGTGAAAATGAAGAAGACGGGATCCTTCAGCGGGGAGAAGTCGAGGAGAGGCTGCGAATTTTCTTTTTCGTGCGGTTGAGGGGATTTGAAGCTTCTCTTGGCCTCGGCGGCGATTTCTAGCGAGCGGCTGCCCACGGGGGGTTCCGACGCAGACGTATTGACCGGACCAGAGACGTCTCTGCCAGGGGACACCAGTTGTCCCTCCGTGGTGGAAAGGTCCAGTGCACTTTGAAGTTGTATTTCCCCACGAGCGGTTTCATCAAAACTTCCATCAGGGGTTTCCAAATCCTTCTTTGCCTTTAAAGACTCACGGTCTTGATTTTTAGCAGAGGGCGGCTGGGTGCTGGCGGGCCGCAGCAGCATGCTGGAGGGCACCAGGTTTAACATGATGCCCCCAAAAATCAGGAGAGTACCTGAGAGGAAGACAGAAGAAGGTTTTTTGTGTTTTTTTCTGGTTATGAGAAGAGAGAAGCGTTAGGAAATGGTCTTTCTAAAACGGTGTAGTTAGCGTTGTACAAGGAAAAAGCTCTGCTGTAAGGAGGGGAGCTTTTATTCCTATTTTTCTAGCTGGCAGTCCGTTTTGCTGTGTTGCAGGCAACAAATCCAGAGCTACCTCTGGGATTTTGGTTTGCTTTCCCTCCTTAGAAGTCTATTACACGGGATAGACCTTCAAGATGGCCTGAAACAGCGCAGTAAAAATAGGGAGTTTTCATTTGGGTTTCCAAGATCTCTGTTTTGACTTAACTTTAATGACTAAAGGAGGCAGAGTCGCTCCAGTTTTTAATTTTTAAAAATATCCTCTTCCCTACCCTGCCCAGCTATCCTCGGACACTCTCTTACCGCTGCTGAACGGACGGGTGATTAACTCCACCTGACCCAATACACGCACTCACCTTGCCAGCCGTAAAAATCGATGAGGAACTGAGTGAAGGGCGCGATGAGAAACGTCAGCCCCATCCCGGAGCGGGCGACGGCGTTGGAGAACGCCAGGCGCCTCCCGCAGCGCTTGGCCATCATCACCGCGGCCGCCTGGAAAAGGCAGGCAAACCCCATACCTGTGGGAAGGGAAAGAAAGAAGATATCCGTGCCCCAAAAGTGGGTTTTGGAGTCGTGCCATGCCAAGCTCGGCGGCCCCGTAGCGGAGCTGCTCTGCAGGGTTCGTGGGTGGGAAGTTAAGGGGGGGCTTGTGCTGTTGCAGCAGGTAGAGAACAAGATTTTGCGCATGGAGTTTAGTATTTGGGGAGGGTTGAGGCTGTGTGCTTTTAGTAAAGGGATTTTCAAAAGCCAAGATTTGCGTGGGGTCCAGAAAAAAAGCAAAATTAGTTGGGACTAGCGTGTGGAAACGAGTATTTCATGTCGCTGAGCGTGAAGCTTTGGGGTTCATCTCATAGACAGGAGCTGGGGGTGCTTTGCCCGTTAAAGGAAAACCTCTTGCTCAGGAAAATCTCGCAGGCTGCTCACCCAGGAGGAGTCCCATGGAGACGCAGAGGAAGGGGACGCTGGTGGCCTGGGTGCTGAGCAGGCACCGACGAAGCCGGCGCCGACGATGGAGGTTGGCCGCTCGCCCAGCTTCCTGCAGACCACGGCCACCAGCGGGGCTGCAAGGGAAAGGAGGGAGAAATCCCGGGCTGGGGTAACAAATGCTGCTTTGCTGGGCTTGGGGACTTGTGTTGGGGGTCATTGCAATTGGTGGCACCTTGGGAGGGAGTGACAAGAAATTTGAGATGGGTTAAATTCAGGAAAGCGGCCAAAAGGTCTTGTCTCCTACCCCAGGAGCTCAAGGCTGGGGCAGGGGAAGGAGTCAAAGCCCAGATTTCAGATATCCTGAGCCCGCTTCCTAACAAACCCCGTGCTCAGCGGCCAGGAATTATTCAGCACCTTGCTTGGAGGCAATAATATTGATATTAGGAGTGAAGCTTTGCTCTGAGTGTGTATAATAAAGCTGCCATGGCGAGGTGTTGTGACATGCACGATCCCCATCGTTGGACCGTGCTCCTGTTGAGAGGGTGGGTCCGGCAGGAGCTGGAAATGGGATCCGTGGAGCATCCTCAGTGCCCCTTTTATCAAAATAAATTGGGGTTGAGGTTGAAGTGCTGCCCCAACCCTTAGGGACACTGGCTCACCTCCTAAGAAGCGCAGGGAGGACATGATGGAGCCGATCCAGCTGACTTGCTCGGAGGAACCCCCCACCTCTTCTTGGAAAGCCACGAAGAAAATCCCAAAGGTCTTGAGCATCCCTATCACGAGAACGTTGACCTGAATCGGAAGCAGACGGAGGTGAGATTTCATAGGGGTCAAGCAGAAGGAGAAGCTTTTCATTCGGCTTTTCCCGTGTGGACAATTTGTGTGGTGGGACACGGGAAGTGTGTGTTGGGGGAATATCAGCAGGGGGGTCTTTTGCAGTGGCCACATCTTAACAGACTCTCGAGGAAAAGGTCTGTGCAAACTGACTTTTCCAAAGAAAAAGAACAACATAACAGCAGAGAGTGACTCTCCAAGGGTTTTCTTTTGATTTTTCTTTGCTTTGCAAGTTATTTTTTCAATGCTAAAAAATAATCTAAATGAGTGTTGGCACTACTGAAGATCACGGAGGCGTTGGCGAGGTGTTGAGCGGGGCAGACCTTAGCTGGCTCGGTTTCCCAGGCTTGTCCTGCCCCGGGGGCAAAGGACGGTTTGTGTCCTTAATTTTAACTCCCTCTCGCCTCCCTGGTGGCGGGTGGTTAATGATTGGCGGCGAGTTATTTGGATGATGGGGAAAGCTCCCCTGCACTTCTCAGCTTTCTGAGCTGGGGGGTTGGCATCCTCTTCGTCACGGATGGGAAGGTGGTGTGTGCCTGTGGCATGGAGAATTAGTGTTTTTAAGATGCCTGGTCCTCCCAGGAGAGAATAACACGAGGGGTGGGGGCTGCCTGCACCCTGTGCAGCTCCCACAGCCGATCCCTGAGGATCCCTGAGGCTCAAGATCTTGCCCTTACCCAAAGTACAAGACACCTCGTTGGGGTTTGACACCTCAGGGGGTGCTGTGTAGGAGGAGGGAAAATTCTCTTGCCTTTTTGTGCTGGGCTGCAGCCTGGACACTCTCATTTACATCCCCGGGGTGTTTTTCAGGTGTTTTTCTCAGGGGAAGGTGGGTGTCCGTGCACAAACGGGTGCTGGCGCTCGGCGTAGCAAAGCCTGGCTGGTTTTTACCCTGAGCTTGGTGGGACCGGCCTGCCCTGTGCTCTGCTCTGAGCGAGACTCAAAACTTTCTCTCTGCCCCAGCTCCAGGAGGGTTTAGTCGAATTTAGTCTCTGCTTACCAGAAAGAAGTGGAACACCACTCCCCATGCCCACCCTCCTTCCGCAGCTTCGGTGCCTGGGCTCTTCCCGGCTGCCGGAGCCTCCGGCTTGTCCTCTTTCCTCTCCCCTGGAATTAAGAATTTCAGGACATATTAACATCTTTCTCCACTGCTGTTTCAATTCCAAAACTGAAGGTCTTGGCTGCCTTTGTGAACCTTTTTACCTCCTTGGCTGTTAGGTGGGCACCAGTATTTTGCCTTCAGCTTGCGAAAGCTTTTGAGGGCAGGGGAAGAAGCTTTTACCAACCTTTGTCCTCTTTCCTCTCCCCTGGAAGTAAGAATTTCAGGACATATTAACATCTTTCTCCACTGCTGTTTCAATTCCAAAACTGAAGGTCTTGGCTGCCTTTGTGAACCTTTTTACCTCCTTGGCTGTTAGGTGGGCACCAGTATTTTGCCTTCAGCTTGCGAAAGCTTTTGAGGGCAGGGGAAGAAGCTTTTACCAACCTTTTTGCCAGGTTGCCGCCTGCAAACAGTTTAATATCCTTCCCCTGAATTACAGTAACCACTTAAGCTTTAAGGGGTTTTAAGCAACAAGCACCTTTTTGCTGCTTGAGGGCGGATACTTTGATTTGTGCCAGAAGTCGGGGGGTCGGTGTCTGTGTCCATCCGAGAGCTCTCCCGGGAAGCTCTCCCGTCCATTCTCCCTCTCTGCTTATCTCCCTTCCATCCTCTTGCCCGTCCTGCACCTCTGGCAGTGGCAGGATCCTGCCCGAGGGAGCAGCTGGACCTTAGAGCTGAGGAACCTGAAACTTTTCCTTACCTCCTTGCTGCTGCATGCTTGAAAATCCTCTCCGGAACCGTCGATTGCAAAGAGGAATCGTCTCTTCATTTGCTCCAGAGACTAAATCCCCCCTTCCTGACTTGGCATCTCAAAATCTGATTCCTCATTCACCTCCGGTGAAGACGATGGCGTCCGTCCTTCCCGACAAGCCCCAAAGCGGGACATGGAGCCCGGCAAGCACTGGGGCCGGGTGGACAGAGCCCGTCCTCCTCCTCCTGGGAGGCAGAGCCTGGCTTGTGGGGCCCCAAGGCCAGGAGTCCCTCCCCTTCCCCAGCCGGGATCAGGAAACCCAGGGCTTTCAGAGCAGAAATCCTGTCGAAAGGAAAGAGGAGGGGAAGCCTGGAAGGGTTTATAGCTCCAGGCAAAGCCTTGGGTCTTGCCAGACATTGAGCAGAGCAGTAGGGGGCAATGGTGGACTGAAGCCAAGGCTGGGGCTGCTGCCCTGGCGTGAGAAACTGCGTCATTTCGGAGGGGATAGTCTGGAATCTTTGGTTTTTCCAGCTGAGATGCTGGAGCGGAGCAGCCACGCTGCTGCAGCCCTTAAGCGGAGCTGGTGGTTGAGCAGGGTTGGAGCCGGCTCCGTGCCTCTATTGTAAATATACACGACCTCCCGGGTAAATACAGCCCTCATGCTTCCTTCCCCGCTCCCTTTTGGTTCACCTGACCCCAATCGCTGTTCCTGAGGTCAGATGAAACTGTAGGATCGTGATGTCGATCTCTGCTCCCTCCCTTGGCAGAGAAGGCAATGCTCCGTCTCGCTGGACGAGCCTCAGATCTATCAGAGCCTGTGGAGGAGCTTTCCCTATAGGAGGACTTCTAATACGTGCATTAAGCTTTTATTTATGGTTTTTGCAGCGAGTATGTTTTAAGGGCTTGAAGGTCAGTGGGACTCGGCAGGCGGGGGCCTGGTGGCAGCATCTGCGCTCGGAGCTGTCGGATATCTGGGAGAAAATGCTCCAGCTCGAGCTGCTCCCACCTCCATGTCAGGGAGAAGAGAGGACCCTTAGACCATCACAGAGCTTGGACACACCAATTCCTGAGAGGTTGGGCTGTGACCAGAATTAAGTGACCTCACCGGGAACATGGAGCCCAGCTGTGCAGGGCAGGCTCGTCCCTCCTGCCTGTTTCTTATGTGGCAACGACTGATAACCCGAGCTGCTCCAGGTCGTAAAGTCAAAGCAGCGTGAGTATTGTTTTATCTCTGACTCAGCCCCATTTTTCAGCTCTGCTGTGGAGCTTTCCTTCCCCTTCCTGCCTGAGGACAGCTGCAGGCCAGCTCCTTTGTACTCCCTTCCATGTAGGAAAAGCGTTTGAGTGGAGCTGTTTTTCACAGGGAAAGCCTTTGCGCGGGGTTGTGATGCTCGAAATCTCTAAGAAGGGGAGAGGCCTGGATTTGCGAAGATGTTGTCAACATCCATTTACAGTTCACACAGGGACCAGGCAGGCAGGGCCAGCACCTCGAGGTTTGAACTTCAATCCAAGGCACGGTAAGCAAATAACTCTTGCACGAAACATTTAACTAGAGGGGGCTAAACATTTCCTAGGAGAAATTCCTCTACCTTTTCTACTGGAGGAGCCTTCATTAATTCAAGTCTATGCACTACTGCAGAGAAATTTGGATGAGAAGGGATCAGAAGTCACCTCACTTGGCTTTGGAAACAAGGCAAAGCTATGGGCACAGTTTTCACAGAAAAGAGAAGCAAAGGCGTGTTTTTGCGGGTCATTTATTAATTTCTCCAACAAATAAGGCCATGCACACACATACACCTTGTCGCATCTGCTCACTACACGAGCTTGGTGAGTGACCCGCGTTCCTTCCTCAGCAGCACAAGTGCTAAAATGTGAGTTGGAGACCCCGAGAGCTGCACAGGAGCCGTTAAGTGGAGAGGGAGAGCCTTCAGCCCAGGTTTGGGACTACAAGCACAGTCTGCGCTGGAGCAGCAGAGGAGAGCGGTTGTCCAGTGAGGAGGAGCTGGGCTGGAGGTGGGAGTTGAACGCTGCACAGGTTCCCGACGGTCAGGATGCCAGCTTGTGCACTGCTACAGTGATGCTGTCGTGCTTCTGGATCATGATATTCCTAGAACAAGAAAAGCACTGATGAGTTGGGAAGCCGCGACAAGGAAGAGCTGATGTGGGTGGGAAACTGGACAAGGCGCATCCTTGGGAGGCTGCGGCGATCCCCAGCCCTGAGCTAGACCTGTCAGTTGCTGCATGGCTTCTGCCCACTCCCGGGAAGAGCGCTGGAGAAGTCTTTGCCTGCCACGCTGACTGGCTACGACATGGACTTCGTTATCCGTGGGGATCCCAAGCACAGAAAAAGTACAGAGCTGCAGCACCCACCTGCCTCGGAAGTTTTCCTACTGCTTTTACAGTTCTTACTTCATGAGGTCCCATTAATCTAAGGGCACAGGCCTTTCAGCGAGGTTGTAGAGTCTCCTCTGGAGACTTTCAAACCCTGCCTGGATGCATTCCTGTGGGGCTGCCCTGGGTGACCCTGCTCTAGAGGTCCCTTCCAACTCCCAACATTCTGTGATTCACAGGCCTGTGGCAGCGACCACCCTCCCACCCACGGTCAGCGACCACCCTCCCCCCCACGGCTTCAGAGCTGGGGCTTCCACTTTGACTCAAGAAGAGGAGAGCTGCCCTACGGATCTGACTCTGGGGTGAGTTCCAGGCCTGGGGGAAAAGTGACTCACCCGCTGTCTGACTCCAGGCACACCACGGGCGTATCGGTGGGGTCGGAGGTGAGCTTGGCTGCCTGCTGGGCGAGGACAGAGATGACGCCGGCGTGCTCATCCGAGAGGGTTCCTCGGCCTGCGGAGAGGTGGGAGACCTTGGCTGAAGCCACATGTGCCGTGACAGCCCTTCTCGTGAGGCGTCCCCTACTCTGGTGCCCATCTGCCTCCCCTACGGGCTCAAGCAGCATCAACCTGTTGCCTTGAAACCACAGAAAAGCCTGAATTTGAGTGTCAAGAGGAGCTGGATGGTTTCCTCAGCAAGTACCGAGGTACAGGGGGTGCTTGGGGCCACCTAAAGGTGGTAGAGCGGGGAAGGCTGCACTAGGGCAGGGTTTATGTCGTCAAATTGAGGAGGGGGCACCCAGGGCAAGGCCTGATACCCCAAA